ATAGTCAATTAAAAATTATTCAATTAGATAATTCACTGTAAGTGCTCGGTGTAAATATCACTATTCATAATAATTTTATGACGAAAATTGTAATTGAAATCAGATATGACATATTATTTGAACAATACTTAGGTACTCACTAGTGAAGATTTATATCATCCTCACTAGTGATGTGGACCAATAATAAATCACTATCTCTGTGATTTAGCAATAGATATTTACCCACTATATTAAACCAAGTAATTAAAGATGATATGTCTATTTATTATTGGTTCACATCACTAGTAAAGATGGTGTGAATCCTCACTAATGAGAACCTAAGCATTGCTTTTATTATTTTGCCTCGTATGAATAAACTCTTTTTTTTTTTTTTTTCGTTTGGTTTGTGGTGGAAAAGTTTGACATTTATAATATTTCGTAACAACCAGTGCTTTTACTTTTGACAAAATTTGTAGTTGAAACATGATAGGTTTGTTTTTTATTTTTATTTTTATATTTTTTATTCTTGTTTTCTCCTAATATAGAATGATAAGATTTCAAGAAAAAGAGTTAAAAATAGAAAGTCAGATGTGACCTATTATTATTTTGCCTCATATGAATAAACCCAAATTTTTTTTTGTTTTTTAGTTTTCCATTTGGTTTGGAGTGGAAAAGTTTGACATTTACAATATTTCGTAACAACCTGTACTTTTGCTTTGTATAATGCTTATTTGGTATTCAAGTTTGTCATGTTTAACTTTCATTGATTTAAAAAACAACCAAGTCTAAATTATTCCAAATTATTCCGCGGTTGAGAGAAATTCCCACTATTAAAAGCATGAGAGAAATTCCCACTATTAAAGGCATTGTTAAAGATGCTAATTAATCAGTTCCATTGTTGTTGGGACAATTTTGTGCAACGCCACAAAAAAAAATTACAGAACGTGCCCTTCACACCCATTATGATTTTGATAGATAATAAAAACAGAATAGTTCATATGAACACACAATTAAAAATTTCAGACTTGGTAGCATGATTCGTTGTATCGTTTGCGACGTATTAGTCGATACGCGATCCTTTTTTAAGTTTGATACGTAATTCGTATTGGCTAGTTTATATTAACTTTATTCGAATTTATTACACTATGATGATGATCAATACTCTTTCATGCTTGGTAGAGCCAACAACCTCACAAATGATTGGCGATTAATTGTTTGTAGTGTTGGACAACACACTTTTTTTTGTTTTCCTTTGCTTTCCAACTTGGACGCCTTTTTTATACTACTCTTCTATTCGTGCACAACTTTTCTTGCTCGAGAGCAACATTGGCTTGCTTGACCAGAGCTTTGCCAGATCTTTTATTTATTTTTGATAAGTCATTTACCAGAGCTTTTAGAGCCGCAAGATTGGTTCTAAGGTTGAGAACTTTTCATAGAACTGTGCATTGTTGTATATATATCTACAAGAATCAAAAGTAAAGGTCTATCAACCAAGACACCCTTATCTGGAGATGCTACCATCACACTCAACTCAACTCTCACCTTGACCTATAAGACTACACAAACCCCCTGCTGCCCACTTGCTCGCCACATCAGATGCAACCTGCATCATGGAAGGCTCGATTCTGATGTGGCAAAATCTGAGCCACTTACGGGCTTTCGGTTAACAGAGAGAAGGGCCACGTGCCTTGTTTGAAAGCAACTCGGCAATGTAACGTTGACATGGAGAGAACTCGGCATCACAAAATGTCTGCAACATAAGATGTTGTCTCAAAGGAAAGGGATGAGTAGGACTCCACTCACTGACTTCGCTATCAGATAGAAGGAAAGAGCAGTTAAAGCCAAAACTGCACTGAGAAGCTACAACAATCACTAAAACCTTTCACAAAAAGTAAAAGCTACGACCTGCGCACTTCTATACATTCTTCATCATTCTCGAATCGATTGCTCGTTCCAACCTTGGCAGTCCGGCCACGTGTGTGGAACGCAATTTGTACAATGCGTTTATAATATTTATATATTATCTGCAAATGTGATAGGCTTTTACAATTAAGGAAACCTCATAAAAAGGGTTAGGATATGAACAAAACAACTCCAATATATTTCCATATATACAACCATAAACGACTATTTGAATTATTGACATGACTAAATTTTATCATAGATATAATATAATATAATATAAAATAAGTAATACTTGTGTCAACGTACTGTTGTTACTTGCCTAGGCAACACGTTCACTCATTTTCAATCCTAATTGCAAAAATCTAATGAGAGGTATAATAATAGTATAATTTCATGAGAACCTATGAGGAGGGCAATTCACTTTGTCTTCCAAAGAGGAGAAAAAAAAAAAAAAAAAAAAAAAAAAAAAAAACCTATACTTGTTTGTTACAAATTTGACTGACATTGTATAATAACCTTTAAATAAAAAGATATCTGTAAACACTAGGCGTATTAATAGTTCTAAGCATTAACGTGTGGTTTTAAACTTTTTCGTAGTCATAATAATACTAGAAATATAGTTTTTACTTGATGTAATGTTAAAAAATTGTGATATACTAAATATTAAATCATTAAAAAAGTCAAGTACGGAAATTGATACTTGGTGTATTCTTACTGATATCTCTTTTCAATTCGTGAAGCTGTTGCAAAATACTCTTTCATAAAAAGAGGAGGGATTAGTCCATCGTAACATTAAAAATTAAATACACAATATTTCTCTGTGATATGGAATTGTTTAAGTACTTACTTTGCCGTTGGACTATATTTAGCTGGCTGGCATTTACTTGTCTCAGTGCAAAAATTTTCATCAACAATAATAATTGGAAAATAATTTTTGCATCGAATAATTGTAGTGAATTACTAAACTTACTCTTTTAATTGGTTAAATATGTAACAAATAAGAAAGTAGGGTCCTTCACTTAGTTATATTTGATATAAATAACTAATTAAAATTTATTCGATTAGACAATTCATTATAAGTGTTCGATATAAGTATCATTTTTCATAATAATTTTATGATTTGCAGTTGAAACATGATACTTTTCCTTTCCCTTTGAACTTGTTCCTGTGTGTAATACTTTTTTCTTCTTCTTTTTATTATTTTATATTTTATACTCTTGTTTTCTCCTTATATAGAATGGTAAGATTTCAAGAAAAAGAGTTAAAAAATAGAGAGTCAGATGTGACATATTATTATTTTGCCTCCTATGAATAAACTCAATTTTTTTTTTTCTCGTTTTCCATTTGGTTTGTGGTGGAGAAGTTTGACATTTATAATAAGTATTTCGTAACAACCTGTACTTTTACTTTTGACATAAATTGTAGTTGAAACATGATAGGTTTTTTATTTTTTATTCTTGTTTTCTCCTAATTTAGAATGGTAATATTTCAAGAAAAAGAGTTAAAAAATAGAAAGTCAGATGTGACATATTATTATTTTGCCTCATATGAATAAACTCAATTTTTTTTTATTATTTTTTTATTATTTTTATTTTTTCTCGTTTTCCATTTGGTTTGGAGTGGAAAAGTTTGACATTTACGATATTTCCTAACAACCTGTGCTTTTGCTTTGTATAATGCTTATTTGGTATTCAAGTTTGTCATGTTTAACTTTCATTGATTTAAAAAACAACCAAGTCCAACATTATATATATATATAAATGTAAATATAAATATAAATTATTCCACACGATCCACAGTTGAGAGAAATTCCCACTACTAAAAGCATTGTTAAAGATGCTAATTAATCAGTTCCATTGTTGTTGGGACAATTTTGTGCAGCGCCACAAAAAAATTACAGAACGTGCCCTCCACACTCATTATGATTTTAAAAAATAATAAAAATAGAACAGTTCATATGAACACATATTTAAAAATTTCAGACTTGGTAGTATGATTCGTCGTATCGTTTGCGACGTATTAGTCGATACGCGATCCTTTTTTAAGTCTGATACGTAATTCGTATTGGTCAGTTTATATTAATTTTGTTTGAATTTGTTACACTACGATGATGATCGATACCCGTGACATGCTTGGTAGAGCCAACAATCCCACAAATGACTGGTTATTAATTGTTTGTAGTGTTGGACAACACACTTTTTTTTGTTTTCCTTTGCTTTCCAACTTGGTCGCCATTTTTATACTACTCTTCTATTCGTGCACAACTTTCCTTGCTCGAGAGCAACATTGGCTTGCTGCTTGACCAGTCCCCCGTTTAGCCAAACTTAAGCCCATTATACCCCCCAAATAAATAAATAAATAATCCCAATTATATTTCTAAAGTATGTTGGAATTTTGGAATGTAGCACTAGATCACAGTTTGATAATAAAAATGACGTCATTTATCAATGAATTTTTGTATGTAAAAGTTACAGTTTGATAATGAAAAGTAGAGGGAGATTAACTCCCATAATCTTGTAAATTGAAAGCTATGATATTGAACTAGTGTATTGAAAAATTTGGGACAATTTCTTAGTGTCGCATCTACTGTAACATTTGAAGCAGACCCAATGAACAACACACACCATCAGTAGATCATTTACCAGAGTTTTTAGAGCCGCAAGATTGGTTCTAAGGTTGAGAACTTTTCATAAAACTGTGCATTGATGATATATATCTACAAGAATCAAAAGTAAAGGTCTATCAACCAAGACACCTTTATCTGGAGATGCTACCATCACACTCATCTCAAGTTCTCAACTCTCACCTTCACCATTATAAGACTACACAAACCACCCGCTGCCCACTTGCTCGCCACATCAGATGGGACCTGCATCATGGAAGGCTCGATTCTGATGTGGCAAAATCTGAGCCACTTTGGGCTTTCGGTTAACTGAGAGAAGGGCCACTTGCCTTGTTTGAAAGCAACTCTGGCAATGTAACGTTGACATGGAGAGAACTCGGCATCAAAATGTCTGCAACAACATAAGATGATGTCTCAAAGGAAAGGGATGAGTATGAGAACTCCACTCACTGACTTCGCTATCAGATAAAAGGAAAGAGCAGTTAAAGCCAAAATTGCACTGAGAAGCTACAACAATCACTAAAACCTTTCACAAAAAGTTAAAAAGAAAAAATTGACTCTACGACCTGCACACTTCAATACATTTTTCATCATTCTCGAATGGATTGCTCGTTCCAACCTTGGCAGTCCGGCCACGTGTGTGGAACGCAATTTGTACAATGCATTTAAAATATTTATATATTATCTGCAAATGTGATAGGCTTTTACAATTAAGGAAACCTCATAAAAAGGGTTAGGCTATGAACAAAACAACTTCAATATATTTCCATATATACAACCATAAACCTCTACTGTCACTAAGCTGGCGCAACGTCTGGTTCCAAAGGTGGTGACCCACCATCCACTCCAGTCCCACTGTCAGACGTCTCTTTTGTTTCTTTATTTTCTTCTTGAAATCCTTGCTTGAACCTATCATAATTCGTAGGCTCGCTACTTTTAAATGGGCGATCACCCAATACTCGAACCAAGTCCTCTTGATGTAGAACCTCCTTTTCAAGCAACAGTTCTGCAATCTGAGCCACTTGCTCCTTGTGGTCCTCTATCAGCTGTACTGTGCGGTCATATGCCTTCGCAACCCATTCTCTCACTTCAGTGTCAATAATTGCGGCAGTCTTACTGCTGAACGGCTTGGTCATCTCAAATGAATCATCATCCCTTTGAGGAAAGGAAAGAAGACCAATCTTGTCGCTGAAACCATAGACTGCTACTTGAGCATAGGTCATCTTGGTCACTTTCTCCAAGTCATTTTGGGCTCCAGTTGAAATCTTTCCTAACAAAACCTATGTACTTACAAAGGAAAATCAATCACCACAACTGAGTGAATTCATTAGACAATTAGTTAAAGCCAATGCTTGACATACAAATTGCAATCAAATACATATTATCCATCTTAAAGTAGGAAACAACAAATGCTATTTATGATGATATTTTTTCCTGAACAGCTTATTGCCCATAATGAAGGATTTTCCATGAAAGACAGAGAAACCCTTATTTGTCCTTTAGACTCCGTTTGTTTGAGTGTAAAATATTTTCTATGTTTTCTGGTGTTTGGTTGTCGTAAAATATTTACGAAGAAAAAAATATTAAAATTTAACAAAAATAACTTATTCATCAATTTTCGGCAGGGTCCCACCCGATGGACTCGACCTCAACCTAGACTTTTGCCAAACACCAAAAAATAAAAAAAAATAAACAATATTTTACATGAAAAAAGAAAATATTTTATGTCGAAACAAACGGAGCCTTGATGACAAATTCTTTTGAGGAATAGGAGTTCTTGAGTAACAATCACTAGAGTTATTGACAATTTGGAGAATATGACGATGCCAATTTTAAAATCTTCATAACATTCATACTATTACAACACTCTCTCACACGAAAACACTTCCAAACTAAGCACAAAATTTTTGTACGGCCAGTTTTTAAGACCAACATGTTAGATTTAGACGTAAATCTCAGTGCTCAAGAATTGAGTGTCATGATTTCTTGTTTTATCACTCCTAAATCAATCTCCTTTTGAATGCTGAATATTCATCGGAAAATAACTAACTTGGAAGCCAAAAAAAGAAAATTAACAATTGCACGTCCGTCCGACAATTTAAGAAATTCCAAACATTCATTTAGTTCCCTATGTATTCTCGTCAATCTATGGATCAGTAATATTATTCAATTTAATAAGTGTTCTAGAGAAATTTAAAAAGCAAAAAATCTAATTTGAAGTTTTAATCTCAGTGATTTGAAAGAGTTTTCAGTTAATGAACAATGAAATGCCAATGAGAGAAAATAATGCCTAGTGCAAGAAATACACACTGCTCTCGGTGTTGGGACCTAAGGTTCATGTTTCTTTGGCCCATTCAGTGTTTCTAGACACTGAACACATTAAAATGAATGAGTCTACACAAACCTCTAATTCTGGTCAAGATTTCCACTTTTAACCAACTCATTTATCAGTTATCCAGAGATAGATGAAACTTGAACAAGTTTGATAAATTCACCTGCTCAGATGCTCGACCACCGAGAGTCATGCATGTCATATCAAAGAGCTGTTCTTTGGTCATCAACAGGTTTTCGTTGGGTACATACTGAGCAAACCCAAGAGCTGCAGTACCACGGGGAACAATTGTCACTTTCAGCAATGGTTCTGCATGTTCCAAGAACCAACCAGCAACAGCATGACCTGACTCATGGTAAGCAACAGTCTGCCTCTCAAGCTTACTTATAACCTGCATAAGGAAACAGTTATAGACAAATCAACTTCCTGTAGTGTTAACATACCCTAACACCAACAACCCCCTTTACAAAAAAAAAAAAAAATCTAACGGAGATGCAAACATGAGGCAAAATGGTAAATAAATGTGAGAAATGAGATACCTTGTTCTTCTTCTCCAAACCTCCAATGACCCTATCTATAGCTGCCTCAAAATGTTCCATTGTAACTTGTGTACTCTCAATCCTTGCAGCAATTAAAGCAGCCTCATTACAAACATTTGCAATATCTGCTCCAGCAAATCCTGGAGTCAAAGCAGCTAGTCTCTGGGAGTAATATGATGATTCTCGATCAAGTTTTAACTTATTCAGATAGATCTGAAATATCTGGTCACGACCTTTGATGTCAGGTTTATCGATGGTAATTTGACGATCAAACCGACCGGGTCTCAATAAGGCTTTGTCTAGAATATCAGGCCTATTTGTGCCAGCAAGTACAACAACTCCAGCGGTTGTTCCAAAACCATCCATTTCTACAAGCAACTGATTTAAAGTACTTTCACGCTCATCATGGCCCCCTGAAAAGCCTCCACGACCTCTAGCTCGACCAATTGCGTCTATCTCATCAATGAAAACTATGCTAGGTGCACGTTGTCTTGCCTCTTGAAATAAACTCCTGACCCTTGCTGGTCCAACTCCAACAAACATTTCCATAAAATCTGACCCAGATATAGATAAGAAAGGCACACCAGATTCACCTGCAGTCGCTTTAGCAAGAAGTGTCTTTCCTGTTCCAGGAGGGCCTACAAGAAGAGCACCTTTCGGAATCTTTGCTCCCAACTCTTCGTATTTCTTTGGGTTCTTCAAGAAGTGTACAAACTCCATGATTTCTTGCTTTGCTTCATCACAGCCTGCCACATCTTTGAAGAATACCTGGATTACCAAATAAACGTCAAAACAATTGTCTATGCAACTTACTTTTCAATGGGATTAGTTCCATAACAGAGATGACGCAGATTTTCGAATTATTCAAATGTTAATAGAAAACAAACTAAATGAATGTCATTACTGACCTTATTTTTTGCATTCTTATCCATTTTTGTAACATGTGCTTTTCCTATATTGAATATTCCCCGGGCACCCTTTCCTCCAGCAGGACCACCAACGCCCATTCCACCCTGCATTCTCCGCCCCATGAACAGGAAGGATCCTAAAAGCAAAGCTGTTGGGGCAAACTTCATCAGTTCTTGAAACCAGTTCATTTCAGATACATACGTTACAGGAACATAATTATGAGGGTCAATTCCTAATGCTTCCTGGGCTTCCTCCAGTTTCTCCTCAAAGGAGTCAACACTTCCAATATTAAAATAGTATTTATAGTGGCTCACATTTCTTTTAGCATGGGTACCATTAGCTTGATCCTGGACAATTTCATCATTGGTCTCATCTGTAATAGGTGGCAGTATCTTCACATACACTTTTGCAACTGATTTATTTGCAACAACAATGTGATCCACAATGCCAGGTTCAAGTAGCTTGTTTTTGAACTCTTGAAAACTAATCTGAAGAATGTATTCATTGAAGAAAAGAAATGAAACAACTATTGAAGGGGGGAAAAGACTAAATTTTATTGTTTTCTCAAAAACAGGAAAATGAATGAAGTATCAAAATTCCATGTATATGTGAAGTCAAAGACTACAAAATTGAGTCTACATGCTTTCAACAAGGCATTCTTCAGAAGTACATTACTACAAGACAAGAAAAATATAAACCACATCGAAAAGGCACACACAATGATAGTGGTGGAGATAGCAGCAATGTTGGTGCAAAAGAGTCAATTTGAAAAAATCTGGCTTAAATAGTACCACATGTATGGTTGAAAAAAGAGCAGTATGATAATAACAGCATTGAAGAATTCAGAATGCTACCACTAAGGATACATGATTACATTTTTAAGATCACAAGAAAAAAGATCATAATTCCCACAAGAGAGAATTTGGGGCATCTAACAGTTTAAATTCAACAAAAACATTAAGAGAAAATAAAGGTGTGAGTTGTGACTAAGTAAGCTACGAAGGCCATATATTTTTTATTTTAATTTTGTCCACATAGAGTTAAACTTCTTGTTTCTTCTGATTCATTTCATACATTATTTAATGGACTTCTATTCATTTGCTATTTACTTCATTTTAAGAATGACTACATGTTTTCCAATAGCAAACTACAACTATCCTGGTAAAAGAAACCATATAATCAAATTAAATTCATCAAGAAAGATCATCTATAGCATTCATCATAACTGAAGTAATTGGGGTTTAAAGCCTTTTGAATTGAGAATGCTTAAGCACTGTCTCTTCCAATTTCTGTACTCCTCTCTTCTACTCCTAGGTTGAGTAGCTTTAACAGGTTGCATTTAAGATACGCTCTACAATTCTCTATTAAGGCTGACATTGCTGTTATGCATCATGTACTAGAATGCATGAAACTTAATTGCTTCATACATTTGGAGAGCACTTAGCTTCAATTTAACAGATTCACGCTGTAAGAGATAGTGCTCATTCTGAGACTTTGATTTTTAAGTTTTTGACACGGTACACAATCTATGAAATAACATTCACTCTTTCAGATCAAACCATTCTAATATCTTTAGCTTTGTCTTTCAACTTATTCTACAAAGTAAATTAACTAAGTCAACGCTTCTTCCATATCCCTTTTTATAAGTAAAAAACAGGAACACATCCAGTTGATATTAACTGACATGAAATCGCCAACCTAATTGACATAAATAGCATGTAAAAATTTCCCCACTTGAAATATTACACACTATTAACACTTAGAAATTAATGAATTTCTTGTTTTATGCTTGGAAGAATTCCAAATTTGTACACTATGTGCAATTTCTGTAGAAGTACTAAATTGTGAAGCTTAAAGCTGCACTAAGAACATATGCTTAAATGCAGAAGCCCTTAAATAATCAGAATTCATGTTTAAGGATAACAACATACTATTATACTGCAGCAAAAGTAATAAGTTCTTATGCTTAAAACTCCACCATGAACATATGCTTGCATGTGAAGCTCTGAAATCATCACGGTTCATGTGTAATAATAGCATCATGCTATAACAAAAATTAGTGCAAGATATTATTCTAAGCAGCTATAAGATTTACTGAATTACAGCATTGACATTCTATAAATAGTTTAGAAATTAAACATATATAGATATGCAACACATGGCCAATCTTCTCAAACAAACAAAGACATCAGAAGTGTGACATAAAAACAAGTATATATCTGATAGAGAACAATAAACCAAATGCTGAAAGTTGATGAAAATAAACATTGACCTGCTTCTGATCATGAGGATTCATAAAAATTGAGGAAAGCACAAACGCAATAAACAACAAGGGTGTGACTAAATTTTGAAACTGCTTCATGAAGTTCTCCTGAAAGTTCCCATGATCATCCTCTGGTGAACATCATGAAATAAATTTTACACATGAGAAAAATCAGAATAAGAATAATATGTAGCATTAAAGGGACTGAAAAACAACTAAAATAATCAACATCCACGCAACACGCCTTCTCACTGTAATGGAAATACTCTAAATTACTCCCAAAATGAAAAAAGTTTAAGAAGAAAAAACATGGGGCCACAAATGGGCTCTGATCTTATCCCAAACTACAAAATGAAAATTGGGATCATGACGCATATTCATTTCAAACAAAAGTAGCCATCATTGTAGTTTAGATATCTAATGTTGTAGTATCCCACAAAATGATAGATGTGGACCTGACAAATAAGGAAACTTGGATGGAAGAGGAAACAGATTTCATGGCCTACATGAGGAACATTTCAATCAAAAAGCAGAAAAAATCAATACAAGAAAATAATTCTCATAAAAATAATAGCTTTTCAGTCTATAAAATAAAAAATTTCCAGCTATCACAATAAACTAAACAATGAACATAAAAATGCATACCTTTAGACTCCGATTTTTGATTATTTTCTTTTGGAATTTCTTTCTTATTCTTCGGGTAATAATTCTCATAGTCTATAACAACAAAACGGAAAATATAAAAAAGAGAAGTAAGAGCGAGCAATTGGCAATAGAATCAAATGAACACAACAAAATCACATGTAACAGACCAATGTGATCAGAAATCCCAAATTTTCTTACTTCTTTTCCTCGGCGTTTGGCTGCAGAAAAGCCGCCGAAGCTGAGGGTTTGCAAAAACAGAATTAAATTCTGATAAATATTTATGAGAAACAATCCGATTTCCAGATCGAACTGAAGTCATATAACTCCTTAAAAGCCCTAATCCTCCAACAACTCGTTCAATGCTCGCATTGGACGGAGAGAGCGATTCATTCAAATGCACATACTTTACACCATAATTACCAGATATAACGTTCTGTAACAATATAAAAGAAATGATCAATTAGCCTCAAATTGATATCAGAGGTTCAAAGGAAGAAAAAAAAATAAAAATAAAAATGAATTGAAGCATACTCTTTGAAATGTAGAGCGAGAGATAGAGCGTCCGATACGCGAAAATATCATTGTTTTGATGATGTTAACATGAAATGATCTGCGAGATAATCAAACCCTAGAGCTATTATGTCGTCAATTTGAACCAAATAAGCTTTCAATTAAATAATTTAGAGGTCAAAATTTAAAAAGAATGTAAACTTCTAGTTCTAGGGTTACAAGTGGAGAGAGAGAAAATATGTTTTGAACGGAGTGGGAATGGGGAAAGGGTGCGAAAGCAAAAAAACAGAGGAACAGTTTGTTAACAGAAAGTGAAATAATAGGCCCTCCTTGGTTCGGTTATTCAATTACGCATATGCCCTTCTACATGAACGCCAAATTAAGTCGATGTGTTGAGGATAGTTTCGTCACTGCAAGGTTTAAAATAGGTTTCCAGTTAGAAGAAGAAAATAAAAAATATTCGAAAAGGTCCTGAAAGGGGAGGTCCTGCACACCCATCAACTATTCGAAAAGGTCTAGGTTAAGATGGAAATCTAATTTTTGGGGTGGATTGTATAAAATTACTTGTCTATAATAAATGAATAACTAATTTATGTTAGGTTTTAATATTTTTTAGTCGTAAATATTTTATGACAATTAAATAATAAGAAAATAAAAAATATTTTATATTCAAACAAACATAACCTTAAAATTTGAGATATATATATATATATATTTTCAAATGCACATTAGACGAGGACATATGGCGCTTTAGTTGAGTTGGTGTGTAGGTAAGTAAAGTTTGCATATAACTGAATACATTTCTTTTAGGTTGAAGCTGAGTTTGTTTAATTTGTAGAATATATGATCATTACCAAAAGATGATTAAAGCTATTAGTATACTTTTTTTATTATAATAATTATCTTATTAATTTATGTCTTACAATCCAAAAATGAGACAAATGCAACCTATATTAATAAAAATAGAAAACTGATAAGGGAGAAAAAGATACAGGAGGAAATGATAAGTAACAATTAAAAAAAAAAAAAATGAATAGTTAAAGAAAAAATATTGTTAGAGAATTAATTTTTCTTCACCAATTGTTTTCGTTTTTCAAGGATCCAATTTCTGAAAAGATTGAGAATTTTTTTTAATTAAAACAAATTTCACAATTTTAGTGAAATATGATTGTGAGGAACAAAATTGAGAAGTACTTTAGAAACTTATACAAGGAGTTATGAATTCTCATTTGACAAGTGAAATATAAATATTGGCACATGTGATACTATGTTGTTATTGACATTCTTGTCATCATTGTCTTAAAACATTTTTAGTTTTCCCTCATTCCCAATATTTATAACAACATAGTATCACATGTCAAATTGAAATTAGTGGAGTATATAATTATTTTGGATATTTTTCTTATAAACACCATTTTACAAATATATTTGACAAGAAATATTCACACATTTTAACTAACACACAAGGTGATTATTATTATAATTTCTCTTTTCTCTCTCTCGAATTTATTATTTATATATACACGTGTAAATGTAAATAAAGTAACATTACAATAATAACCTGATAAAATACTTAAATATTTAATTTTCAAAATTATTTCTACATTTTATTTTATTTTTGAATGGAAAAACAAACACTCTTTTTGTCCACGTTCAAACTCGAATCCCTCCCCTCCTCCATATCGTGTTTAAATGGAAGTTGTTGGATCATACATTTTAAGAGTGTTTTGAGAAAGCTGGTACCTTCGTTCTTCCTTCCAAACAAACCAAACACTCTAAATTCCAAAAATAAAAAAAATAAAATAAAATAACAACAGAGAATGGTCAAAAATAACTTTACATCAAATGAAGCATGATTTTGAATCATTATTGCTCCACACAATTTAGTTCTTATTAATATATAAAATCACTTCCTATTTGTTATGTCCGTCCAACACTTGAAATATAAATAATGCTAAAGTTTAAATGCCAATATCAAAGCATGAAGTGGAATAGTTGGGGGACCAAGAAAGGGAGGAAGGTGAGGAAGGATAAGAAGAACTTGACGAGGACTTGGAGGAAAACATGTTGTTTGTTGGATTCCGAATCATCAAAGGTACAACATCTTCAAGCAACCCTTGTGGGCCCATTTCTCCTTGGGCCAATCCATTTTGTTGATGATCCATAAATGTGCTCAGTAGCGGCGGGTCAGTAATGTCAATTACTGGACTTTCTGAAACATCTGGTGTCGCTTGGGCTTCATTGGATTGGGCCTGCTGGATGATCTCTTTGGGCTTCTTGGAAGGTGGGTTGTCATGCTGTGTTTCGCCCAAGAAATATGGGTAAGCAAAATGGAGGTGAAGCCCTTCGTAGGTGACGATGAAAGAGTCCGGGTCGTATGTGGACCGCTCCACCTGTTTCTTCGCACTGCACCTAGGGTTTGTACACCTGTAATAGCTCCTGTTTTCCATCACCACACACAGATCAAATGTCCTTAATTTTGCAACCCCAAGGTGTCTTAATAAATAAGGCAGGGCTTACGAACTATTCAGATTAGCCCGGTACACAACCTAGTAGTTAGGCATAACCAACTATCTATTCTGGTCTATTTTTCTTTTGGCTCTATTTAAGGTCATATTTTTAGAGATATGGGATCAAAACGACTCAATTTAATTTAGTCAGTTGGATAAGGTTACTTAAATTGTAATATAAAAAGATCAGGATTCAATTTGTAATTTAGCATTAGTTTCTTTTAATAAAGAGACAACCATTTAGTGCCTGCTTAGACTTTTTTTTCTATTAGAGGGTATGAAAGTAATACTAACGTGAAGACGTTGACGAACTAGGATATCTGTAGGAATTAGAATTTATTACAAAGAATGAAATTAATTATGTATAGTATAAAAGAACAGAATTTGGTACACATTCTATTAGTGTGGTTAGGTACTTAGGTTGAATTATTAATGCATAAAGAATATCCATGTTCTTGCATAAAGATCAATTTTTGTTGAGAGAAAAAGAAATAGAAAAGGATGACCCATTTCATTTTTCGGTGACGAAATTACCCTCATAACGTTTCTTATAGAAACTTCATTTTTCGGTGACGAAATTACCCTCATAACGTTTCTTATAGAAACTTAAAACAAATAGAGGTTTGTGACTTCACAAGGGTAGTCTTATGTCCATTTGTCATGAAGGGCATGCAAACAACTCCTCCTATAAACTCATTAATTGACATGCACAGAGAGCATCATTCCCATGCAGAAACAACCAGGTCCAAAGAAAGGGGGAAAATGTGTCAGTTCGAAATTGATGGGTGGTTTTGGTATTTCAACAAAACATGCTCAGATGATTTTCTCAAAGAAAAATGGTTAAAAGGGTTGTAGATACAGTGAATTTTGTCTTGTGAAGTTAACTTGTAGACAAAAAATATATCCCTTATATATCAAGTTATCAACAACTATGTTTATGGAGAATTAGACTTACCCTACCTTGCATGGAGACCATATATGAAGGGCTCTTAGATTAGTGAAAAAACATATTAAATGAAAAGGAAATGTGATAGAAAAATGAAATAAATTACCTAGGATTTGGGCTATTCTTGATAGATTTCTGCCCATATTTCCTCCATTTATAACCATCGTCAGCCATAGCATCACCACAACTATTGATTTTCAAAGTATACTTGTTGTCAACCTTGCTCCAACCCTTCTCTAATATTGAAAATCTGGGAAAACAAAGAGATTCATTCATTTTTATTTGTGTATACACACACACACACACACACACACATTCGAACCAAATGAATTTGAATCATTGATGAGACCAAACCTGGCTTGTGCAATGTCTTGAAAGTGATGTTTATAGTTTGTGACCGATAAAGCACAATCGATATCTTGGATTGTCGGCCCCGAGTAAAGAGTGGACATGAGCTTGTTAATGGATGATTCATTTGGATCCGGACTTGATTTGGATTCGTTTCCCTCGTGTGGTAACACAAAGAAAGGTGACTCATCGTCGAGAAGCTCTCTTACAAGCTCTTCTTCTGACCCGTCTGACCAAGTAGCCTTCAATTCCTCCATTGGAAGCCTAAGATGAGGTAAATTTAGCTACGCATCAGAAAATTTAGAGACACTGAACTGTTTACTATGCGATAATGGTTGAGAGATTTGGCTTATGAAAGGGGGAAAATGGTGAGTGAGAGTGGAGTAGATGAAGAGGAATTTGTGATGTCCGCTTGTTTGCTCTCTAATTTTAAAGCAAAAGTTAGTAGTTGTTGTGTAATTTTATACTAGATAAAAGGTGTGTGTAAGTGTATGTGTGTACAACTTTAATTTGACTTTTGGAGATTTCCATCTGTCAATGGTCACATTCTTGGTAAATTCTAAAATAAAGTCAGCAACTTATTTATCTCCTTTTGCATGATATAGAAGGTTAATGACAGCATTCAAAGCACCCAAACAAATCCAAATAGAATGAGTTTGGGGGCTTTTGATGACTTTAACACTATAGCTTGTTGAAGACTTGGGTTTATAACCATCTTACCAACATGTGCAATTAGTAGTCCTGATCAAATCTGATTACAGTAATCTGGTTTAAGAGGCGTGGAAACACCATTCATGATTTTATACCGACCATGCAGATATAGATGATCTGTAATGTGTGTATATATTGTATATGTATATTTAGTACCCATATCTTAGTTGTTTGTATTCTCTGTTATTTCCACCTCTGTTTATTTGTTTTGTTACATGATGGGATGGATGAATTAAGGTGGACCAGCGCTAGCAACCTGAACCATGACCCCTGTTTGATTGATCAAAAGTCAACCACTAATTGAGGAATAAAGATATACCCTTACTTTCCTAAGCTTCCTTATTCTTAGTTTTATTGTTCTGTTTTTTTTTTTTTTTTTTTTTTTTTGAATTGCATTACTGGCTAAACAGGAGCAACAAAGAGTTTTATGAGCTAGCTAATCAATTTAATTACTTATATGATCGAACTGGTAAAATGGATTAATGGAGTAAATGGATTATAAATTTCATATACATGTGTGTATGCATGGCTATCCCAAACAGAGACTTTTCGGTAGGTCACCTATCTGTTAAACACGTTTAATTCCGAAATTAAGTTAGGTTCACACATTTAAAACGCATTATGTCATTAAAAGGTGTTGAACTTACATATAGTACTTTACTCTTTCATATCCAAGCAATATGAGAATTGTGAATTTGTGAGTATACGTAGCTCATACTAGAACTTGCCTCTCACCGGCCAAAGCGTGCTATTCAACCAACCCTCCCAATAATTGAGCTGTGGTACTGGTGAAATTTACATAAAATATGTATATATATTTTTTCACTAGCTAGCTAAGAAAGCTCAAGTTGGTTGCTGAGTGGTGTGATGACAAGCTCTGAAAATGAGATGATCCTAGAGAAGGTGAGATTTGTGATTTGTTGTTATATGGGGTTGACTTGTGGAGTCCCCAGAAAACTAGGGCAAGGTGTGAAGGACAAACAAATGGCCGGTTGACTGGCAGAGTGGGCGTAGGTTAGCTGCACCCTTGTCAGCAAGCGAGGTGGGGGGAGAGAGAGAGAGAGAGAGAGAGAGCATGTTGAGTCCTTGTGACTGAAACTGGACCTTTGTGGAGGTATTCGTCAAAAGTCAACCCTTTTTGAGGTGGGACCAAGTTGGTATTACTGATGGGTGACACGTGTGAATGTAGTGGCCCACATGTGTTGGGAAATCACGTGTGGAGGATGGCGGTGTTCGAGCTGTTCCCGTCCTGTCCAGAGCCCCCTAGTAGATCCGCGGATTGTTTTAACTAATCCCATCTTAGAGCCCAACAAAATTGGCAGGCCATGCTGCAAGGGAAGAGTGGGACGTATCCTCCTTTGACCTGTCCTCATTCTCAATATATTAACGGCTCTTCCCATCATTCACAAACGCAATTCAAATCCTACATTAACGGAGGTTAGATGAGTAAATTATAAATCATGTTAATCCAAATGATTACATGTTTAATAAGTTTTTAAATTGAATTTTCTCTCTGAATAGGGATTCTTTCCGGAATTCATTAGGTACATTATTAAAAGCGATTGAACTACAAATTCTCTTACAATTTTAGTTCATGAGATCACAAGTAACAATTTCTTTAATTACATTTTTCTTGTATAAATACCGAAAACTTATTTTTTGATAGAATTGAAATTTAAATACTCAAAATTTTATGATGATCATAAATTGAAATTTTCATTTGTAATCGTTTGAAATTTAAATGTTCTCATTCTCAATGAAACATACTTTTTAGTAGTATTCACAATCGTATTATTGGAAGTACTTCATTAACACATTTTTTATTTTTAAAAATTTAATGTGGAATTGAGATGCTAAATAAAAAATAATAAAAAAGAAAAGAAAAAAAGAAAGAAAGCAGCAGCCCCATGACACTATTCCAAATGTTTTTCTTGGTTTTATATGAAAAAAGATGCAATGGATAAAGTCGGGTATATACAAAAAGATAGGTCAAGGTCAATGGAACCCAAATCCTTTTACTTTTGTGTTATGCAAGTTTGGGCCACTTCAAATTGAACCCAACGTCTTAAGTCCAAACAACTTCCAATAAAAAATGGGTTTCAAGTAGGCAGGGTTTCAATGGGTTTTGTTCCATATCAAATCCAATGACAATGGGGATAATTATTTTCTTGCAATAAATAAAGTAAGAATTAGTGTTATTTGATAACAATGAAAATTAAGTCGTGAAAGCTGAATTTTAAGTATTGAAGTTTTTAAGTGGTAAGAACTAGTGTTGTTTGATGATAGAAAAAAATAACCTACATTGACCAGCCGTTAGATCTCTTCGACATATTTCATTATCAGAGAAATTTTTTTTCCTCGGATAAGAATGATGACATGTCTTATCCAGGATAATGAATGACGACGTAGTTCAACAGGGTGAGGATAACCTTAGCACAATTTGAAGAAGTCAAAGGAGTAAATCTTATCCCGACAAATCTGGCAACAATCGATCTCCTCTGATCTTGCACAAGCCGATCTCCCGCGGGATCAATCTGATTCCAATCGAAAGCCATAAATAGGGCACCAAGCCGTTAAAGAAGGTATGAGAAAAAACCCATAAACATAATATACATAATTATTATGTGATACGATTACAAGTACTAACTTGATCGTCGGAGGGTCCTCGGCCGGCACCCCACTGGTGCCATTCGAGGTGACGTCCCTTTGTTTTGCAGGTAAACACCGTCGTTCCGAGTTGTGAGGATTTCCGCATCAACAGCTGGCGCCGTCTGTCAGAACGATTAGTTCTCTGAAGAAATAATAATCCTAACGCGACTTGGCTTGGACGGCGAGATGAAAGTTTTCAATCATGGAAACCATCCCAAAGTCATCAGTTGACAACGGGTTTCCATGTTCTTATATAATGACGGGTCTCTACATCATGATTACCAATTCATCATATTGGGGGCAAAACGGTGGGTTGCGTGATGCCACTCAGTGTACGCTAATAATAATCAAAATTTGGCACATCGGCCCAGGCAGTCCAATGTGGTGTTTTCCATCTAGCGATGCTTAGTCCCCTCACTACTAAGGTTTGGTCGTCTAAGACCAAACTCTATCTCATATCTGGCAGCAGCCAACTACCAAGGCCTGATCATTGAAGACTAAGGCTTGGTTATTCTGCGCCTACATAAGTGAGTTGGTCTCCGCCCATCAAGAAGATCACTACCAACAAGGGGGTTTCTACCTACTAGTAAAGCCTCCACTTACCAGACGACAGTTGTCACCTCTCTTCCTTTGCAGTAATCGTCTATCGACTTCAGATTATGCAGAATTTTGGATTGATAATCCATGGCAGGTTAATTTTCAATAATCATTTCTAACACAATCTAATATTTTTTAGACAACTGTAAATTATTGCAGCATCAGGCACCCTGTTCGCCGTATAAACGTCTATAGAATGGGTTATCACCCAAGATCCCACCATTGGGGGCAGAATAGTGGATCACATGATATCAATCGTCGATCTATATATGATGACAAGGTTTAGAAGATCGACGTACCAACCTTGGTACATCGAGCTAGTCGGGTTTTTAGCTTCTCTCCTTCAGCGACCCGGCAGGGAAATTAGTCTTCCAAGACAGTGCCCAATCCTCTGAAAAAGTCTCTACACACTAGGAAGGACTCTAAGTCCAGTAAAGTTTCTACAATCAATGAGTCCACCATGTCCAAGGTGGTCCTATGAGGTTTTTAACCATCAAGCACCAATGATGGTCTTTTCAACCTGGAACCAAGCTTAGTCACATGAACTTCAAATTTGACGGGTCACTACCACCATAGTCACAAAGCAAGGCAAGCATATAAAGCTTAGGCAAAATATCGCCTTATTAAAGGGGTGAGTTGGGTAAGACTCGTAAAAAATAACTATTTATTAAAGTTGCAATATCCCCGTATTACAAGGGATGATAATGAGTGTCATGTGTTATAAGGACCCGGGCCGAAAGAATCCCGTAATCAATATCCCCGTATTACAAGGGATGATAACAAGTGTCCTGTATTATTATTTCCCTTATCAATAGGGTATGCTGAGTGAAGCTTGAACATATTACAAACTCCTTACCAAAGAAATAACAAAAAAACCTAATTCCCTTACTAAAGGAACGAGCTGAGTGAAACTCGTAAAACATGATTCCCTTACTAAAGGGACGAGCTGAATGAAACTCGTAAAACCTAATTCTCTTACTAAAGGGACGAGTTGAGTGAAGCTCGTAAAACATGATTCCCTTACTAAAGGGACGGACTGAGTGAAACTCGTAAAACCTACTTCCCTTACTAAAGGGACGGACTGAGTGAAGCTCGTAAAACCTACTTCCTTTACTAAAGGGACGGACTGAGTGAAGCTCGTAAAACCTACTTCCCATACTAAAAGGACGGGCTGAGTGAAGCTCGTAAAACCTACTTCCTTTACTAAAGGGACGGGCTGAGTGAAACTCGTAAAACCTACTTCCCTTACTAAAGGGACGGGTTGAGTAAAACTCGTAAAATTTAATTCCCTTATTAAAAGAGTGACGAGGTGAGTGAAGCTCGTACAATTTATTCCCTTACCAAGGGAAGATTACCCAGGGGTACTAAAAATAGTACCCAGGGGCAGAGCACCCAAGGGGAAAATTACCCAAGGGTACTAAAAATAGTACCCAGGGGCAGAGTACCCAACGGTACCAAAAATAGTACCCAGGTGCAAAGTACACAAGGGTACTAAAACTAATACCCAAGGGAAGATTACCCAAGGGTACCAAAAATAGTACCTGGGGGCAGAATACCCAAGGGTACTAAAAATAGTACCTAGGGGCAGAATACCCAAGGGTACCAAAAATAATACCCCGAGGACCATTACCCAAGGGAAGAGTACAAAAAAAAAAAAAAAAAAAAAAAAAAAAAAAAAAAAAAATTCTTGTACTGTTCATACGAACAGTACCCGTGGGTACTGTTCCCAGGGTAAGGGGGGGGAAAAAAAAAAAAGAGGTTACTGTTCACGTACAGTATCACGGGAATAGTACCCGTGGGTACTGTTCCCCGGGCCAAAAAAAAAAATTTGACATTCCTAAAGCTAGACGAGCAAGCTTGGGAATGGGGAGCAACTGATAGGGAAAAATAACCTACATTGACCAGCCGCCAGATCTCTTCGACATATTTCATTATCAGAGATAAAGATTTTCCTCGGATAAGAATGATGACATTTCTTATCCAGGATAATGAATGACGACGTAGTTCAACAGGGTGAGGATAACCTTGGCACAATTTGAGAAAGTCAAAGGAGTAAATCTTATCCCGACAAATCTGGCAACAATCGATCTCCTCTGATCTCGCACAAGCCGATCTCCCGCGGGATCAATCTGATTCCAATCGAAAGCCATAAATAGGGCACCAAGCTGTTAAAGAAGGTACGAGAAAAAACCCATAAACAGAATATACATAATTATTGTGTGATACGAGTACAAGTACTAACTTGATCGTCGGAGGGTCCTCGGCTGGCACCCCACCGGTGCCATTCGAGGTGACGTCCCTTTGTTTTGCAGGTAAACGCCGTCGTTCCGAGTCGTAAGGATTTCCGCATCAACATTTGATAAAATTGAAAATTAAGTAGTGAAAATTTTAAGAGTCGAATTTTAAGTATTGAAGTTTTTAAGTGGTAATTAATAAATAAATATTTTTTTGAGTTTTCAGTATTCACAGTGATAAATTGATATCTTTATCCCTTAAAATTTTATTCCATTTTAAATGATACTGATTTTAGTGATATTTAAATTCCATTATCAAACAAACTTGATTGAGCTTAATCTAAGCATAATTAAACATTAAATTATGTAATCAAATAGCACCCAAGTTTCACAAAAGTAGTTGGTATTTTAATTTTTTTGCAACTGTATAGTCATCCTTCCAAGTTGAAGATTCTCTCTATTCTAATTTAATGTGAAACAAGATTTTTTTAAAAATTTGTTCCACCCAAATTCGTAGGATTCTCATTGCACTCGGACTACTCTATAGTTTGTATAAGATATATTAGTAACAACATAGACCTTGACGTCAGAATAAGGGCTGAGTTTACTTTGATACCATCCGTAACGAGCCTGACGCCTTGCCATACGACCCAAAAATTTAAATTGATAGGTAGATTTGCATACCTATACTCCCCATTTAATTAATTTATTATTTTTCTTGAATCTCATTTATATTTAATGTAAGACAATGGTTCGCAGTTGTGGTCGCAGTGTAATGGATTGGAACGAATATCGGTATAAACTAACCGAATTAATCAGTTCGTAAAAACGTGTAACGGTATCGAATCTTTGAAAAAAAGTTATGACTAATACATTATGTTTCAAGAAATATAGAATATCATGTACCAGATAAACCTCCTCTCACCCCATATATAAAATTCGTCAATTGAACGCTTGTGACAAAATTTCATAGCAATAGTTAGTGGAATTAGAATATACATTTCATAGCAATTAGTGTAACTAAAATATACAATTTTTTTTGGTGAGTGGAACTAAAATATAGATGCTAATAAAAGAGTTCATTGGTTCTTCCATATAGTATGATTCACCTCAGAGGACCAATAGCGGCTATGAAATTTGATTTATGTAAATACTGTATCTTAAATGATACATCTAGTTTGTCATTTATCATGTGTGCTGTTTGAACATATAAATCAGAATGATTACACAATCTCTATCAACTTAAAATTTTATAATTGATTGTTAACATGGTGGGCGGTAGAGCATACATAAATGAATATATTTGCACCTTCTTTTAACAACTTTAAACTTTTGTAACATTCAGTTGTTAACATGGCATATACTAATGTTTAAAACCTCATTAAACTTTTGAGATTGAGATTTGAAGAGATAAAATTAAAAAATTAAAAAATTAAAGAAAACAATTTTTTTTTTATTTTTTTATTTTTTTGCATTTGGAATCAATTGAAATTAAGCTTAATAAAAGGCAAAATTATTTCTATTAAAAACTTCAATATATTTTTTTCCTTGACAGGAGAAACTCACATATTTACGTGCACTTTGGGACTTGACCCTCAATCTTTTATTTTGAAAGTATAACCGGACTTCAATAATAGATATTTTTTAAAAAAAGTTGAGATGAATTTAACAAATTTAAGTAAAAAATAGAAAAAATGAGAGAGAAATAAAGGGTATCAAATGGGGGTCTGAACTCTGAATTCACATGACCTACCTCCAGTTGCTCTTTTGTTCTAATCTGACCATTTTCATTGTATGATGACTCTTTTTAAGTCTTAGGAAGTCCAAGTAAAGAGGAGGAGTGGCCCATATTCAAATGAAGCCCACTCCCCAAACAGTTTCCCGCGCAGTCGCCGACGGAAGCAGGCGCCGCCTTAATTGAAAAATGATAAAAACGCGGTCGAAGGTGGGCCACGTACAACCCATACTTCTCTGCCCACTACACGTTCGTTTTTTAATCAGCCCTATCACTTTTCCCAAACACACCACATTATTCTGCCACCGATTTCAAATTTCAAACCCTCATATAAACCCTCCCTTTTCCCCAATTCTTCAGAATTTCCAATTACACACCTCGATATATATACATATAGTAAATTAGTAGCGTATACTCATAGACGACTGGACGCGTATATAGGAATGGAGATTGTTGGTGGATTTGAGATGACGGAAGAGGAATGTTTGACGCCGAAGCATGAGGAATGTCGAATTCCGGCGGCGTCCGTGTGTCCACCGCCTCCGAGGAAGAAGAAATCCGAACGCCGGATGAAACCGGAACCACCAAAGAAGGGGTACTTTCAGCCACCGGATCTTGAGACTCTGTTTGCCATGGGACCAAGACCAGAAGCTTGTGCTTAATTAGCTCTCCCTCTCTGCCTGTGCGTACGTGTTGTTATATTCTTTTATTGGTAGAATTAGAGACGATATTTACAGTATATATATATTAGGATGTAAGCCCAAGTTCCTTTTCTTTTCTAGATCGTGGTTCATATATATGTATGATTTGTTCATTCTTTTTGTTAAATGAAGATCAAAAATCAAGATCTTCTTGTTACGTATCAATTTGGGGTTCGTGTACCGTCACCGCTATTTTACTTGTTTTTTATTTTTATTTGTGTTTGAGGCCGACTATAAACTTTAGATTTGTTTAATTAGTTTTTAAGAAGTTAATAAATATAAATTTTTTTTGAGAAAATCATAAAACACTATTATATGATAACAGCTGAATTTCCATAAAACTGTCGACCAACAAATTATTGCACTGTTTACTGATTTTAGGTCTTTGTACATCATGGAGAATTCAGCATTGGTTCATGATACAAAGGGAGGGACATAATATTTACTTAATATTTGATAAAGTAAATTTAACTTACCTAGTAAGGTTTGTCCATATTCCACGTAAACTATCTTGATTTCATAATATCATTTACTATCTCTTGAGATTGTGATTTATGTAAGAGATTTCCCATGTCGTGGGCACCGAAAACAAACAAAATTTACTAATGTCAGCGACGGAAAATGAATAGAAGGTCAATTTTACCTTTTAATACCTGAAATGCTAACAAACATTCCATAACCAAAATGATAAAATAATACACAATCATTACCAAGTTAGATGGCCGTTAGTGACAAGGCAAGTGAAATTCTGAAACCAAGCGGGAGTCTCTACATATCCTAGGGAAAGGTAAGTGGAGTTTACTACATTTGACATTATTAACAATAATGGCCTCTCTAAAATTGGAATGTGCTTTCAAGCTTGGTAGTACAAACTTCTACGAACGTTGTACTAAGTAATACTTACAGGTGTGTTGAAAAGAAAAGAAAATATATAAAAATGATTGAAATTCTTATCAGTCGACCAACTGAAATCAAAATGTGCACACAGTTTCAGGGTAAAACATCCCTTCATAAGCAGAACTGATATGTAACCTGGAGTTCAAGCAGTGTAATTCAACCAAAGTGGTATTCTCACTATCAATCTCTTACTCATATATATATATTTTATAAAAAAACTGTACTTTCTAGGAAATAAATATTAAAAATAAAGTAAAACCAAATGCAAGCTGGATGAAAAAGGAAAGAGAAAGGCCAAGGCCGATCAGAGTAATATCACATTTGACTGAAAATAACAAGCTATGTTACATTCCAATTGTAATCACAAGAGAAGAGACTCATTTAACAGAAATATTTCATAAACAATAACATTTTCACTCTTCTTCTTTTAGTAAACTCTACTATAGCATAAGCATGGAAAAGTATTCCTCAAATTCTTTATCAATGGTTAGTTTCTTCTTGCCTGGTTGAGTCTCTGCATTCAAAATGACACAATACAAATTAGTAATTAAAAAAAAAAAAAAAACTAGTTTTATGCTTAGATATATGAATATACTAGAAAAAAATGAGACAGGAAGAAGATGAGATGGTCAAGCAGTTTCAAATCACAAGCACCATGTCATTTATAATCCTCCATTTTTGTCCAATTGTTTTTCCATATTGAAACTACATTACCTTGGTTAACATTCCATCTTCCAGAGGAAAGAACATAATTATTTGGAATCACCCCATTGGAGTAGAGCATATCTTCAAGTGCCTTATCTGTATATTGCTCATTTTCGTGATCTGAACAACCGTAACCTATATGGTTTTCAAGTTCTAGTAGGTGGTCATCAAAATTCAGAGGAATGTGTAGTCCAAGAATCTGATGAGGAGAATCAAGCTCTCTGTCAACAGATGTTGGTTTCTCGCTGTCAGAAGAGATTGTCATTAATCTGCTGTCCAAAGAATAGAGGATATTCTTCGAACTGCTGGTGCTCCAATTATCGGATGAAGTGGAACGCAGTTCAGATGAACTTGCCTTTGCATACTCCAACTCCATCTTAGCTTCACCGGATACAGACATGGATGAGTCACCATCTGCAGCAAAGCTGTTGCTATCTCCTGCTGACTCTTGATCCGACACCTCACCTATTGCTTCACTATCATCTTTCCTCTTGTTTATGCATATACGAAAATTCTTTGCTTCTAGGTTCTTATCAGATGGGGAATCAAATTCTGAACTTACGCTTCGATACCAGCATTTATGCTTTGGTAGAGGTAAGCCTAATTGCTCATCTTGAAATTTTCTTTTCTTGTTCCAGTAAACAATGCTAGAATGCAGTACTTTGTTGACATCAACACTGATGAGTAAATTATGGCCATTAGAAAAGCCACATTTCTCAATAACATTCAATTTAGAGACCAATTTAGGAAACGCATTTAACAGATCAGCAACTTGTCATGTTAGGAATAACATTCAATTTAGAGACCAATTTAGGAAACGCATTTAACAGATCAGCAACTTGTCATGTTAGGTGGCAGAAGTAAAACAAAGAAAAAGAAATGCAATTTACCCAAAAATAAAAAATAAATAAATAAAATGTAACTCAATTTTATTCCTAAAATGAAGTTGAAATAACATTCATACTCAAGAGCACAAATGAATTTTCGCTTAAAAGTTTGATTAACTTCCTTCAACAAAAAAGAGGATGAAATCAACAAAACAATAACAAAGTCAATGAAATAATCATATTGGTAAGTACTGAAACAATCAACAGATCGCATAAAAAACCCAATTACTAAATCTTCCTTCAAGCAAGTAACAACAGAGAAAAGTAAAAAAATGATTATTAATTTAATCTTTAAATTTGGCTTCTTACTTTTTTGGGTGAGAGGAGTTTGATCACAAATGTAATCAATGATGATCAACAACATAAAACAGTAAGTTGGGTTCTTTCTGACTTCATTTAAAAAAAAAAAAAAAAAACTTAAGAAGCCAAGGCATGAAGTGGATCGAACATAGAGATCCACCAATTTCTTGCAAATACCATATCTTCAACTGAAAAAAATCAAAGACACGAAAAGATTCTATAGTGAATTATGTTTGTGCTAATTTCCACTAAAAATTACAAGTTTAACCATGTTGATATCAGGTTCAGAGCTTCATTACAGCAAGGAATATACTAAATACCGAATTAAAAGACTAGGGCTTTGAATCAGAAGCAAAAGAAATTGAAACCCATAAATCAAACCTGTTAATCTCAGATGGGTTGTTGAGATCTTCCTCCATATCGATGGCAAAATAAGGATTATAAAAAGAAAATAAAAAATGGATAAGAGTTTAGACAGAGTGAGCTCCAGTAACATTAAACCTTAAGAGAAAAGTATGCGCAGGGGCAGAAAAATAGAGACTCCTCCGACGACTTAGCTAAATAATTGCTCCGCGAGGTTATCCTAGAATCTCGATCTGTCCATCCCTCTCTCCACTGTCTCCCATCACTTAATCTTCTGTACTTTAACACCAAGTGCATTCGAGGAGCGTCACCAACACGATCAAAGCTACTAGGGATAATATAATTTAGGGATAGTATCACTTACCTATGAGGTTTGGCATAATTACATATAGTACTCTTTACGTTTAAAAAATTACACTAACCTCCTTTCAAACTGATTAGCATTTTATTCCGGCCATTAACCATGTTAAATGACTAAAATACCCTCTAGTATTTTATTAATATCACTTAAAGAATATATATATTTTTTGAAATTACCATATTATCCCTAATATTTTATTAATATCACATTAAATTATTTTTTTTTATTTAATTTTTTTTTTTTTCAGAAAGTAAAGTACATTAAATTTTTTTTTTTTAAATCAACTAATCAAGGTAAAAAATATATATATAATTTTAGGGCAAATCATTTCAGCCTCCCTAATCGCCTCCATCTCTATTCTTGTTCTCAACTCTGAACTTGCCCTCTCTCTCTGCAACTGCAAACTACAAAATCTACAAGAATCAGAAGTTCAAAACCCATATATTTCAGTTAATCTATCTGTCGGCAAGAATCAAAAGTTCAAAACCTATTAGACATATCAAAACCCATATCGGCATATCATTTCAAATTGTTTAAAAAATCAAAACCCATATCTTTCAGTTTCCATCGTTCGCTGTTCCAGTTAGTGTTCATCATTCGTAAGCTTCAGCCGCTGTCTCTCAATTCTCGGCTTGCCCCCTCTCTCTGCAACTGCTAGCTTGATGTTGTGGTGTGATTACAGATGGGAGAAAGAGCTCAATTCCACCTTCTTCGAAGTTGAAGATGGAATAGACCCAATTGAGGTTGGCCATAGAGGACTCGAGAAAGTTTGAGGCCTTGCAGAAGTCGGCGGCGGTGGTGATGGCGAACACCTGGAGGAGGACGCAGCCTCGTCGGGCTAAGGTTAAGGCCCTCTCGAGGTTCTTCGTCACGTCAGCGACGATTCGCCTGATAGGTCGCTCGTAGAGAGGCTGGGTTGACTCGGTGAGTTGGACGGCAGAGCCGAGCATCTGGTGAAGCCGTTCGGCGAGCTTGACGAGTTCTCTGCATTCGAGTTTGGATGACTCGGCGACTTGGGCTGCGTTCTTTGGTGAGAATTGCAGAGATGGAGAGAGGAGAAAGGAAAGAAGCGGAAAAGGAGAATTCCAGTTCGTCGTTCGCAAGTTTCAGCCTCTATCTCTGAACTCTCGACTTGTCTCTCTCTCTCTAGCATTTTTGTCTTTTTATTCTAGGTAAGGGCAAATATGACTAGTATATATATGTATATATAGAGAAGAGCTAGTGTGGGCTTATAAAGATATCATGGCTTTTTTGTCTTTTTATTCTAGGTATATGGGTTATTTTAATACAAAAGTAAAGGTTAAAATGTCTTTGCAAAGATAGTAAGGGCAAATGTGGTATTACAGAATTAAAAATAGCTAATGTCATCAGAAATCATCATTGACCGGCGTTGACTTTCACAGAAGGGGGCTAAGTGTTATGATGGAGCAAACCTTAAGGAAGGACAGTGTGATTTTTTAAATGTAAGGGGTACCGCCTGTAATTACCCCTAACCCCAGGGGAGGTAAGTGTAATTACCCCTATCATTTACCTCCCCGAGGTTATGCTTAATTACAAAAAGTACCCCTAATGTTTTAAAAATAACAGAAACCTCCCTCAAATGTGACCAGTGTTATATTTCGGTGGAATCCTTATTAAATGACTAAAATACCCTTTATTTATAAAATAAAAAATTTAGCAACATGTGAAATGACAAAGATACCCACAAACTCTCTCTCAAACATATGTTCACTTTCTCTCTCTATCTCGTCACTAATTCCATTACACCTTTGCCATTCCAACCACCATCTCCATCACCCATTGCCCACCACCACCACGCCCAACAATATCTCCATACTCCACCATCACCTCTACCCACTACCCACCGTGAGGACTAAGTTTTTTATTTATTTATTTATATATATATATATTTAATTGCATTACCATTATTTATGAAATCGTAGTGTTTATATTATGCTTGTAAGCATTATTTTTATTTGTGAGACATTATTGCATTTTGTTATGTTGTGGGCCCTATGGTTGACTAGTTGATGAGATATGTGTAGATAAGAATGTGTGTGATATGTACATGTGTGTATAGAGAAAGAAAGAGGGACCAAGACCAAACAAACTCCTTTATCTTTCTCCCATCCGCCATTTTCTTTCTCTCTCACCTCCAGCTCCATTTTCTTGTTACTTCAAGCTTCCACCATCATTTTGGCTTTCTTCCTTGATGATTCTCACTTTGTGCTAAAAGAGAAAAAGAATGAGGACATCAGTGGCTACAAAATCCCTTTTCCAATTTTGGATTTGGAGCACATTCTTCCTTTTGAGTAGTTAGGGTTTGCTCCTAGCTTGAGGTAGGGGTGTATTGTGGTTATAACCTAGGAATTCTTGGAATTTTATGACCATTGTGTAAGTTATGCATACACTTGTGTGTATGGGTTGGATTAGAGAATTATATAATGATTTAATTGCATGTCCATAATGTTAGTTATTGTATTAATTTTCATGTGTAACGTGTTATTTATTTCATTGTTGACATTATTGATGTTTGTTAAAATGTTAAATCTTAGTGTATCCAATTAAATAATTAAAGTGCCTTACATGTTGTGGTTGTTTACGGAATTATCATATATTTGTTATGTTAGGAATGTTAACTTTGAAGATATATATTTCTATGATAATATTGAACTTTCACATACTTGAAATTTCATATAATGATAACATGAAATCATATGACTTTAAAATACCCAATTTGTTGACATTGCATCAAATAGTATGCCATTATAGTGATTTGGACCATAAAACATGGATTGTGTGATTAGTATAATTTATATGTGCTTGTGAAGTGTAATTTGGACATATCATGGTATATGGATTATTTTGTAGATTTGTTTGTTGATTTTGGGAGATACTCGGGGGTTGTTACTTTGAGGATGCGAGTGCGTGGCGCTCGCGGGTGAAACAAGAGTTTCCCCATTTTATATTGGCTAATCGGTTGGTTTCTAACGGACTAGTAATCCGAGAACGATTATTTTTATTTAGGCGCATAAGATGGCTATGTGACCGGGAGTGTAGGTGTGTTCCTAGTTATTCTATTATTTGATTTCGACTTAATTTTCAAGTTGGCATTTATGTGTTATTGTAACTAGTGGATTTATGCACATTACACTATATTGTTTATGATTGTCTTGATGAATGGATTAATATTGTTTATGCTAGACTATGATGATCCTATTTAGGTTCCCTTTGAGACTAAACGTTAGGAAGTATGCTCCTTGTATTGTATGGGCATGCAATGTTTATAGAATTTTGAGAAACCTAGTTTATATATTCATGGGACATTCCTACGAAGCAATTTGTTGTTCACCCCATTGATTCTTATATTTTTCAGGAAAGGGCATTACCCAAGAGGAAGTTCTTCATCCCTAGCTTGATTGGGATCTTGACAACGTTTTTGAGCTACTTGTGATAATTGTGACATCCATTGTGTAGCTTATTTTTGGAGTTGTATTTTGATTCATGGTGTATTTTGATAATGTATTTGATGACACATGTATGTATTTTTGGAGTAGAAAAATAGCTTAGGAAATCACCCATGTATCTTTTGGATTTCTCATAAAATTTTCTTTCTTATATCTTCTTATGTAATCTTATAACATTATTTCTTGGCTTATGGATTGTAATGAGGCCACGGAGGCTGCAACTTTTATTTGGATAATATATATTGTTTAGAAGCTATGTTCATGAAACTATAGTGAATGTATATGTTGGAACCCATTTAGTAGCATTTATTTAAGTGATTCATTACAAATTATAAGTAATATCACCATCACTATTATAATAATAGTAATTATTATTATTATTACTTTTTCATAACTGATTAGATGCACAGGTTATTCATTACCATTATATATATATATATATATATATATATATATAGGTTGGATCAAGTTCAACAATTTGATATTAAAGTATGTTTTGCATTCACATGTGGGTTATGACCACCGTGTTGTTGATTTTTATATACATACATACTCTAAAGCAGTTTCTTTATTGAAATCATGGCCAGGGTATTATTTTGTGTCCACACAATGTCATCACCACTGTGTTGTCATCCATATGGGCAATATGGTAGTTCAAATCATCACCAATCAGCCCCATTGGCATATGTAAGTCCACTGTTTTGTCAACCATGACAGGGGTATTGCGACCAAACATTATTTTATTTTATTTTTAAATTACTTTTATTATCATTAATTTGATTATTGTTAGTTGTGTGAGTATTAATACTTGATTGAGAGTATAGGTGGATGACATCGGTTTCTCTACAATTAATTATTTATCTATTTAATTATCTATTTTCATTTATTATTTTTGTATTTCTTCGCGACCCGAGTCATGGGATTCGGGGCGTGACACCACCCTCATCTAAGCCCGAAGGCACCACCACCGCCTTGTCCAACAACACTAATCTTCATTGTTCAAAAAAACCTATTTTGTGAATAGGTTTGGCGACCTTCATTCCTTCCATTATTTCAGACGAAGATACTACAATGACCAAAGCTACAGATCCATTTCCGACCACGACTTTCACCAAACTGAGCAACTTCAGTTTTGGGATTGTTTTCTTTGATTCTTTTTTTTTTTTTTTTTTTTTCATGAAAAAAAAACAGTTTCTAATGTTTGTCTTGTGTTTCTCTATGAATCATAATATATATATATATATATATATATATATATATATATATATATATATATATATTGATTTATAATTTTGTGATGAAAAAAAGTTTGCCACAAATTGCCGACGCAATCAATCCGTTCCCCCACAAACACATGGCAAATCGCTATCAGAATCGATGGAGCCCATAGTCATCGATGGATGGCAGAAATTAGTTGTTGGGTCTATCTTTGCCATCAAGTTTGGCCATTGTGGATGGTGTTTTCCGGTTGGAGAGTGACCAGTATATATAATATATGTATATAGAGAGAGAAGAGTTGAGCTATGTATATATACGGAAAAAAAAAAAAAAAAAAATCATGTATACAAATTAGGAGGTTTTCCAAAATAGAGTTTAAAGAAAGAATGAGAGGTTTTAGAAATAGAATTTCGAAAGAGAAATGGGAGAGATTTAGCTAGAGAAAGAAAGGAGAGAGTCTTAGATTTAATAAAGTGTGCAATTTTTATCCTTATAGTTAGGGTAAATAAGTAATTTTTAATCAAAAAAAATTCTAAGGGTAAATGTGGTATTTCACATTAAAAAAGGATGACATCAGCAAAAAAAAGGTCATTGACCAGCGTTGACGGCTACGGAAAGGGGCAAAGTGTTATGCGGAGCTAATTTTGAGAGAAATTTTTGTAATTTTTAAAACGTTAGAAGTACAGTTTACAATTAGACCTAATATGCAGGGAAGTAAGTGATATTTTTCCAATCTACTATTATAATCTCTTTCTAAACAGTGCAGGGTGGTATCTTCACTATGTGAAGTGGGCGCGTGCTATCTTGCTGACGTGGATAGAACCATGTTGTGTCCACATGGACCTCCGAATGTGGTTCAGTGGCCCTACTCTTTTGTTTCTACTCAATTTTGTAAATGCCAATAATACTTCCATATAAAGTGCAAAACATTTTATCATTGCGTCCAGCTTGCAATGTCGTGATTATCATCTGTTACGTCCATTTCCATTTAAGGTTGCATCCTGAATTGTTTACACTTTTCGATTGTGGAATTGATTTTTTCGAAGAGGCTAACTCACGATGAAAATATCATTACCCCCTAAACAAAATTAATTATTCTTAATAGTAATTTTGAAAATGAAAAGGGAGGCTAGTAATTAGAGAATAGGAAAAAAGTGCAAGATTCAAACACGAGCTTATAAAAGTATAAGAGAGTAATCTAATCACTCAAACAATGGTAAATAAATTTATTTCTATAACTTTCAATTGTCAAGATAAAAAAGCTTTGAATTAACGTTATTTTGAGAGAATTTTAAATCATAATAAAGTAAATTAAGTTCCATGACTGGTTAAACAAAAACAAATAAAGTCATTAAAGAATAAGTCTCCTAAAATCAATTGCACAATAACTCAATTTCAGAATGATAAATTGAGATGAAGACTTCCTTAATTAATTGAATGATATCATTACATTATAGGTCTAAAAATACTTTCAAATTTTGCACTTTCGATGTTTCTTTTCTGGAGTGGAGTGGGTCCGTAAAAATGGAACACAAAACAATCTTCATGACCTAAAATTTCAAAAATTGCCTTTTCCATTCCTCTTTCTTTACTGAAGAGGGAAAATTGAATGGAAAAAAGAATTTTTAGAAAAAAAAAAAACCCAGAGAAATACTAATGGGAATCAATGAATGCTAAAAAGAAAAAAACATGGTCAACATATTGGAAGATCTGATGGTGGAGGTGGCAGCTTTTGATTGGGCCGCTTTCCATCCATGACAACCCACGCCATCTTCAAGCCCCAGCTCGTGTGGACTTCCAGGTGGCAGTGCATGAACCATACACCTGTTTACACATCACCAAAAAGCGATTCATGTTAGGAGTCTTCATTTGATCACTTTTAATTCCAAATTTATAAGTTTTTATTCTGAATTTGCCCGACTAAAAATACTAATTTTAATCGTGTACTAGATTTGAAGAGCTGAATTTGCAACTGTACATAGCAGAGCTCGTGAAAATTATATGCTAATTAATTGAATTTAAATATAATTTTTAAAATTAGTCAACTAATTAATTTTAATTGCTCATTTAATTAGTGTTTAATATACTCTCTATGTAGCTACCTGGATTATCGGCAAGAAAGCGAATGGCAACCCAACCACCGGAGGGGACACCGACGGTGTTCCGTTCAACGGGGTCGACAAGGTTGAACTTAGCCGGATCCTTCTTGGGATCGTAGTTTCCGAAACCCTGACGCAACACAAAGAAGTTGAATCCATGGAGGTGCAGTGGGTGGCTCTCTGCCCCAATAATGCTTGTGTCCTGCATCACAAGCTCCACACTAGTCTTAAATGGAAGCACCACCACTTTGGCCCCATTGTTCACCATAATGTTACTCGGCGGATTGCCAGTATAGTTAAATTTAAATGGTGGGTTGGCGGGAAAATCAGTGGTGTATACACCTTTCGATTGTTGAAAGAAGTGAGCTTGAAGAAGAGCTGTGTTTGGCAGCACAAAGGACACATTGTTAACGGAAGCTGCAAATTTAGTGTTATTGGGTCCTTGACAAGTTTGGTTCTGAGGACATGGGTTTAACCCCAACCCCACTGTGAAGAAAAATCGCCTATCCACTTTTTTGGGTACTTTTGCAGGGAATTTCGCATTGGCTAAGCTTCGGAGTTTGTTGCTGAAATTGGTTGCAAATGATGTGTCATTGAACTTGGGAAGTGCTGGTTTTAGCAGAGGGAGCTTGTTCTTCGTTGTGGTGGCGGATGGCTGGTGATATTCAAGGATTCCGGCAGTGGTGGTGTTGTCGAAAGCTGCAGGGCCGGTGGCGTAAGGCCTAGCGGCCATTAAAAAGGTTGCATTTGGGAAGTGAGATTTGGTCTTGAGGAGGACATTTGTGGTCTGTCCAGGGGTGATGAGAACTATTCTGGTTTTGAATGGCTTAACATAGATGGCATCGGTTTCGACAACGGTGAAAGTGTGGTTGGCAATGCTGAAGAAGAGCTCGTCGTTAAGGGCAGCATTTATCAGACGGAGGAGGTATGTCTTCCCTGGCTTCACTTTCATTTTAAATGTATCTGCATGATATTTCTTCAAATTAATGCCCACAACATATAAATTCACCAAAATGCCCTTGTATATGTTACATAGAATTATATATAATACCTTTAGCTGAGCAGTTGTAGAAGGGTCCAGGAAGACCATTAATGGTAAAGGCATCAGAGATATTTGGGGCTCCTCCTGATTGCAGAGCTTGGTTGATGATTGTTTCTGTATTTGCCTTCCACCATTCACCTGCAATCCAAGAAGTAATCACCCCATAATTGGAATTTTGATCAAATGTTAAGGGGATGGAAAAACATTAAATTATTACACAATCACAATATTTTATAGAAAAAATGATATGTAATCCAACAAGTCAGATTAATTCGACTGTTTTATGTGAGTAGAGTTTGATGTCATCTCTCACTCACATAAATGCAGTCAGATGTGTTCGACTTTCGAATGCTGTATTAAGACTCTATTTTAATAGGATAACGATTGAGTAAATTCTTTTCCAGGAACAAAATCAATTGGATTACCAAAAATGATGGGGACTTCTTTGTGGGGTTGAGGAAATGGGTAAGGAATGTGTCTCTTAGGAAGGATGACAATAGGTCCATAGAGCGTGACTCTGAGCCATGAGATATGGGCATGCCAAAATAAGGTCCCTCTTTGGCCAGTGATGGTGAAGTTATACACATAGATCTGGCCTGTTCGAATTGGGCATTGTGTGATATATGCAGGTCCATCTGCCCATCCAGTCCTTAGTTGTCGCACTCCGTGCCTATCATTCACCCAAAATCCAAGTCACACATTGCACAGAACTCAAACTAATCAGCTAATAAGTACTCATAACAAGTTAACAACCACAACTATAACAATAATATCTATAGCTATAGCTAGGGTGGTTTGCATACCAGTGAATTGTGACATTGTTCTGAATGTGGTTAACCACTTTAACTAACACTGTATCACCCTCCCTCGCGATGATCCGAGGCCCCGGAAACTGACCATTGACTGTCACAATGCTCTTTGTTTGGCACAACCTTGTGACATTTTGTAGCTTGATCTGTAAATAATAAATCAAAACAGTCGTATAAAACAATGTCAATAAAAATGTTATACTACATTTCAATATACATGTTATAAATGTCACACATACATCAAACTTGTAGTGCCTGGTAATGCCTGCATGTTTGGAATGCACAAGCTCAGCTAGAACTGACAAAACACCGAGGACAAGGAAAAAGCAAGAACCCATCTCAAATGTTTCTGTTTGTTTTCTTTTCTTTGTGGGTTGTTTGGTTGATTGAAATTGAGCTGTAATTGGTGGAGAGGAAGGCAAGTGAAGAATGTATATATAGGGAGAGAAATTAGGGGATGCGTTTGGTTAATTAGGTGATGGAGTTGAAATTATCACCTAGAGACAGCTTACACCTCCCCATAACGAATTTCATATTGATCTGACTTTAGCTGTTGGCACAACATTACTTCATAATGACGTCCAAGTCAGCTAATTGTCTTATTTGAATAATAATTCATTTTAACGATTTTTCATAAAGTTCCCTAAATGCCTTTTTTGACCTTCATTAACAAATCATATCACTAAGATACAGGAGTGTGGGTATATTATATATATATATATATATATATATGTTTTTGTAATACTCATGTTCCTTGAACGCACAAAAGGGTGGATATGTATAATCATAATGTTATGCTAATTAGTTTGATAAGTAGAATTAAGAAGGTATAAGTGTCACTGTCTAGAGTTGTAGTTCATTTGATCAAAACAATTTTCTAATGGGCGGTTTGAGTACAATATAAAAATATATTTGCAAATATTTTAATCAAGGAAAGGGACTGAACATCCATTTTGGTGCAAGTGTGGAAAATGGTTGCCTGGTAGCCTTCAACTTCCTACCGTTGATACTTGTTAATCAAGACAAAAGAGGAAGGTGCTAACAGTAACACATAATTTGTTGGCTGTCCACTGTTTCTCACTGTATTCAACTATAAAGCTTTACGTTTACTGATGTTAATTTCTTTCCCTCCTAGATGGTATAGATAAATTACAATGAGTTGGGCTTGGCCGAAAATTTTCTTAGCTACCTAACAGGCCCAATGGGCAGTACATATCTTAATTTACTATATCAAAAAGAAAATCAATCTTACATATCTTAATATACTATATCAAAAAGAAAATCAATCTACTCAGCACAAATGTAGGAAATATGCAAGGTTAGATTTCATTCTCTAAATTTTACTAACTGTTGTCTACTTTAGCTAATGTAGTATTAAAAGTAACCTAAACCAATTAATGTATATGCCTATAGAATTACAATTTTTTTTTTTTTTTCTCTTACATATATGCCATTTTATTTTTGATAAATGAATTAGCTTTATTTATAGTTTGTTGTCTCTGCTAGCCGCTGCAGCAATGGCTTATAGGTTTGTGAGAACATTTGTTTGGAGAAATATTTAAATATTTATACTAATCTATGACTCTATAGCCTATTATAATTTCTGTGTATTTAGAGTTAATCTCATATTATAATCCACAAAATTCTACCAACAAACTTTACTGAAAAAAGTAAAATAGAATAGGTGTGAAAAGAGTCTGTATTACAGTAAAGAATGTTTTACCTATTTATAGGAGAAACGTCATACAATGACGGGCTCTCATCTAGACACATGTCCCATGTCGCGTATTTAATTGTTGGGAGAATTCTACAATGAGTTTGGAGAATATTTATGATATTTATATTAATCATCAACCGAGCTCTAGAATGTCTTGCTGACTATCAACCGAGCTCTAGAATGTCTTGCTGACTATCCATGTAATTGTTAATCTGTATTACAATAACTAATCTTTCATTTTGTAGAAAAATATTGATGGCACATTTTTTTGAACTTTATTTTTTTTTTTTCCTATTCTTTAATCTAGTTATTGAACCTTAACTCTCATATATTTAGAAGCCTTAGATTGAGTTGGGGCTACACCAATGAAAATATTAGTCCTAAAACATAAAAATTGATTAACCCGAGAGTGCAATCATAAACAATCCGATCCTTTCTAGCCATCCCCAAACCTTTGTTCTTCTCGTAACTGTACCTTTGTTGAATTTATCCTATTAAATGCCATGACTCTGTTCTAGGTGAAGCAATTCTAATAATTCTTAAAATAGAATATGAGAATTCAAAACTCTATATTATTATTTATTGATGAGTCTTACATCCAATTTATATAATAGGATTAGTTAAAATAGGTAACTAATTACCTACCAATTAGCCCTAAATTAAAGAGAAAATAATTCAATCTTATAACTGTACTATAAGAAATAAAATCTCAACACTCCCCCTCAAGTTGGTGTATAGATGTTACACATGCCTAACTTGTCTAAAATTTTTTAAAACACTTGATTTGAGACTATTTTGGTGAGAATGTCGGTTAGTTAATCCTCAGATCGAATCTTAGGCAACTCCACTATTTTCCCATCCAACTTCTCCTTAATGAAGAATCTGTCTATTTCAACATGCTTCGTACGATCATGTTGAACCGAATTATAGGCAATATTGTATACTGCTTTATTGTCACAATATAGTCGAATAGGTTGCCAAGATAGATAACCCAAATCCCGCAATAGAAGTCTTAACCACAATGTTTCACAAAGTGCAAGCGCCATACCTCTGAATTCAGCTTCTACACTCGAGCGAGTAATAACATTTTGTTTCTTGCTTCTCTATGTAACAAGATTACCTCCTACAAAAGTAAAGTAACTAGAAGTAGATCGCCTATCATCTATAGCTCCAGTCCAATCAGCATCAGTATATGCAGCTATAGCTCCAACCCAGTCAGCATCTGTATCTGCCATCACCGGATCTGAATCTGCCGTGAATCGGCCGGATCTAAATCTGTCGTGAACCGCTGCACCGCTGCTTACTGGCGACTCTCTACCGCTGCCTCGCCAGATCGCATCGTGGTTTGTAATACCCCTAATTTTAAAATGATAGTCCTGGTATTTAATGAATTGTTTAATTGAATTTTTTATTATTTAATTGTTTATTTGAAATAATTGCAAATTATGATTTAAATGAATTGTTTGATTTAATTGTTTATTTAATTGCTTATTTAATTATATTTTGCTTTTTTTTTTTTCTTTAATTGACTTAATTATATGCTTTTGTGGATTAATGAATTAAACGTTTTAATAGAAGTAGGGTTTCACGTTGCGGCTGACTAAAATTTAATTTAAGGTTTTAAATCTCTAATTCTAAGTGGACTAGGGTTTTCAGAGACGCCTATATATATATATGATGTCTGTCTAGGGTTTACGACAAAAACCCTACTCACGTATTGGCACAGAGAGACGTAACAGTGTGAATTGTGAGGAAAACAGAGAGGGACTTGAGAGAACACAGAGAGAACTGGTTAGTGCTTCGGCTGTGGATTAAAGGTCGGACCAGGGTGAGACGGAAGGAATGTTGTTCGTGGTTGGAACCAAGGGCAACGGAGGAGTCGGGAACAGTAGGAATCGCCGAAAATTTTAGGAAGACGACGCTGAGGTTTTGAACCGAAACCTCAAAGGCAAGTTTTATTCCTAGCTCTCTCTCTTTGACTCGTGTTCTTTACATGCCTAACTCAATTCCAGGGGTAGATGAACATTAAAATTAAACTGGTTCGCATGTTTGAATTATTCTAAGCAGTAGGTGTTTATGAACTGTCAAGTGCTTGTTTTACATTCTTCTTGCATAATTCTTGATTTAATTGATGTCAATTGGTGAATAAAGAATTTAATTAGTTCTAGAACACATGGGGAAATACTAGAATTAATTTGGGTTGCATGTCTGATTTGCTTAAACAGTAGGTGTTCATGAATGCTTAATTGCTCGTTTTAAATTCTTTTGGCATAATTCAGGTTTTAATTGATGTCGGTAAATGAATAAAGAATTCAATTGCTTCTGGAACACACTGGAACCTAGTGCAGACACCTAGGAACCTTGACAATGGAGGACGGCAGTGATGGAAGTCGCCGGAGGTGAAACCGGTGAAGGAAAAAGAGTGAACTGAGCAAAGAGGGCAAAGAGGCGGCTGCCCACAAGGGTGGAGCCGGCTCCAAGGGAAGTAGAGGTGGCTCCACATGGTGTGGAGCCGGCTCCACTTAAGGGGGAGGCGGCTCCCCATATGGGGGAGGCGGTTCCTTCCCTTTTTGATGCATTTTTGGCGAGTTTTTGCTTCTGGGTTTGGTTTTTGACCTTTCTGGAGTAATCAGGGACTGTACATGGGAACTTAGATGAGGTCTGAGGTTGTATTAAAGCTCCAGAGGGTGTGAGAATGGATAATAAACCACTTAGGGTTTATAGATTGAACAGTAAATAGTTCCTAACAAAGTTGCAAACTGTTAGGGGATGCGAGTGGTTTAAATTGCTTATGTTGTTCTAGCAATTTTCTGTGAATGATTATCCAATTCTAATCATGTAACAGTGGAATGAATTAAGCATGTTAAAATATATATTTCTTTTATGCTTGTTAAGGATAAATTAATGATGCAATTTAAGCAATTATTGCATAATTGTTGGGACTTGCATTAATAGCATGATAGTTCGCCTATGTTTATTATGCTCGCCATGGAAATAATTGACGTGTACATTTATTTATGTTCTATCAATTAAACGGATCTTGGGGATAAATTGATATTTACATATACTGTTGTATTGTCAATTGTTGGATTTTGGTTGAGTAGTGTAAAATCAGCATGTTAAAATACATAATTTTAGTATGCTTATTATGGAACAATTGATGGTTATATTTAATATTTTTTTATTATCAATTGTTGGATTTATGGATTAGTTGATATTTACATGTATTGTCTGTATTATCAACTGCTGGATGGATGGATTGTATGCACCGGTATGGGACGGTAGTATACTAGGGGGATTAGCTCAAAAACGCTAAGTCCTACCTACTATGGAATTAAGGAATGGATTAACTAAAAGTTAAATCCTATTGATTTATAGTGTCAAGGAAACGAATAGTTGAGCGGCACTACTATGGATTCTAGATGAATTTTAAATATATTGTTATGGTACCTCGATATGAGCTTGAGTCTCAGGATCGATGGTTAGGATGCGTATATGCATTGTGATGCATAGTTGGCTATGATGGTTGGAGGTGTACCCTGTTAGGCTTAGGTATACATGCCCACTTCAGGTGCGTTTTGCATGTTACCTCTATTCAGGTTGAGACCGGCCTGTAGTCTA